TTAATTAGTGAAAATGTATGTTAATAACAATAGTTATATAATATTGAACGTATTTATTTTATCAAACAACATAGTTTCTTTATCATTCTCAAAGAATAACATTTTTCCATACGTCCGCACAATAATTAGTTAAAATAGAATAACGTAAGCATATATATATATATATATATATATATATATATATATATATATATATATATATATATATATATATAATTGAATTATAACTTGTTAAATTATGATAATAATTACGGTTGGCTAAATATATTAATTGAATTTTTTTATTAATAAAGAACATATATATATATATATATATATATATATATATATATATATATATATATATATATATATATATATAAAAAGAATGTTATATATAGAGTTAGGTTCATATATAAACAATATACATTGTGTGATTGTATAACCAATTTTTGACAAATCATTTAATAAAGGTATGATAGTAATTAACATATAAATCAATAAATGCATTTTCAGTTATAATCTTTTAATTATTGTAACTCATTTCATTTATCTTCACTCCTATAATTTTGGTAAGTAGATTAAATTGAATTCTTTTATATACGTATCAAGAAAGTTGGTGACTAAAACTCAGATATAGTTGCGAATCGAATATTCATTTTTTAAGAATTCATACAAAGAATATATTAGTTTATTGCATATTCGTCATGATTATGTTACACACTGTAACATATTTTTATGTGTAAAAATAATATTTTCTTATTCTTCAAGAATTTTTGGCTGGTATGTAGTTTTGGTGAATCTGTGTAAAAAGAATATTGCATATACTTCAAAAAAAAAATGTTATAAAATATTAATTGATCGTTCTTAAAGAATGAATTTATTTAACATATATTACTAGTTTTATTACAGTAGTTCAAAAATATTTATTAGTTAATGGATTTTTAAAGAATAAAATGTGATTTTTAAAGAATGTAATGAATTTCAAGCAAATTCTTGATTTTTAAAGAATCAAATCGCCAGATTCTTTAATTTTTTTACTTTTTTTAACATTGTCTAAAACATTTTGTTAATATTTTGTAAAACTAATAGTAAAATCGTCTAATTTTTATAGAAAAAAATATGTATAAAACTAAGTAATTCTTAAAGAATTAAATCTATTTCGTTTTATGTGATTATCGTGTAAAAAATATATTACAAAATTTTCAATACACGGTTTTTTGTGATTTGGTTTTAAAAATAATAATCTGCATTTTATTAATATATTTGACTTGGTTTCCTAAAATATGGTTACTTCTTTTTTATCTCATTCAATAAAATGTTGTAATTACTCTTTAATAACCTTACAATTAATTGATGGTAATTATGTAGTAATTGATATCCTATATTAATACAATATTAATACAATGCACCCTAAAATCATAGTCATTAATTTTTTTAATCCAGTGATCATAATTTGGCCACATATTCATACAATATTTGGAATTCACATTTAATTCTAATTTTATATATATATATATATATATATATATATATATATATATATATATAAGGTTGTAGAGAGTGGTCTTAGCAACCAATCGACAATGGTGACATGGACTCAACGAACACCAGGTCGTTAACCCGGCATGCCGAGCTCAGAAGGGCAAATCGTCAATGACACACCAACTTCTCTTCTTCTTCCTCTCGTCTTCCCTCTTTCTTCTCCCCCACTCGGATGTCAAGACCCTCTCTTCTTCTTCTTCTTCTTCTTCTTCTTCTTCTCTCTCTCTCTCTCTCTCTCTCTCTCTCTCTCTCTCTCTCTCTCTCTCTCTGTCTCTTGTTATCTAAGAGGTGGAGCTCGATAAGAGAAACATAACTCCCATGGCCTAATGCATACATAGTGTTTGAATCGTTTTTTTATACTTCACATATAAGATATATTTTTATATTGGTTTTTACTAGTTTATATGGCATTTTATTTTTAATTATAATATAGTTAATATGTTATTTAATTTGAATAATAGTATTTTTTTAATAGATATTTGATAATTAAAATTATGACATACAAATGTATGGAGTAAAATTTTGACATACAAATATATGTCATAAAATGTGTCAATGTAATTGTTCGTAAAGATTTTTTTAAATATTAAAAGTTTATGATTTACAAAAGATTATTGGAATATATACAGTAAAGTCCCAATATTTTCATCGATTTGACCAGAAAGTCCTAAAATTTATTTTTTTGATAGTAAAGTCCAAATTACCGGCAGTTTTTGACACTTTTACCCCTTTTTCCCGGTTAGCCGGTAATTAAGATTTTTTTGTCAAAAAAATAAATTTTAGGACTTTACTATCAAAAAAATAATGTTTAGGAATTTTTGTCAAATCGTTGAAAATATTGGGACTTTAGTGTATATATAAATTTTTTGGTTAGAAATTTAATGGTATGATACTCTTTAAGCATAAGAGTTATTGAAACCTTCTCTAATCAGCTAAATCCTATTGAAATCTTTTATGTTTGCTTATTGTTAAATCGTTTGTTTAATCTCAACAAACCAACATTGAAAAAAATTGAGATAATCAAGAAAGAAATTAAGAAAGAACCGGAATTGTGTTGGCTTTTTGCAGTCTCAAAAATGGAGAAATTAGAAACCTAAAAAAACGAAATTGCCCTGGCTTTATACAAACACAAACAACACATGCATAGTCAGAAGGGTGTGAATGTGGAGAAGGGAAAGAAGGGTAATTTCGTTTTTTTCGGTTTCTTATTTCTCCATTTTTTAAATTGCAAAAAGCCAACACAACTCTGGTTCTTTCTTTCTTTCTTGATTATCTCAATTTTTTTTTTCAATGTCGGTTTGTTGAGATTAAAAAACGATTTAACAAGAAGCAAACGTAAATGATTTCAATAGGATCGAGCTAATTAGAGAATGTTTCAATAACTTTTATGCTTAAAGAGTATCATACCATTAAATTTCTAACAAAAAAATTTATATATACACTAAAGTCCCAATATTTTCAATGATTTGACAAAAAAGTCCTAAAGTTTATCCTTTTTACAGCAATATCCTAATTGACGATTTGAAAAGAAAGTTCTAAATTTTATTTTGTTGACAAAAAAATCCTAATTATCGGCTAACCGGGGAAAAAGGGTAAAAGTATCAAAAACTGTCGGTAATTTGGACTTTATAGTCAAAAAAATAAAGTTTAGGATTTTCTTTTTAAATCGATGAAAATATTTGAACTTTACTGTATATATCCCAAGATTATTCATAAATATATGTCGTCATATGTGGTAACTCCCTGTCATAAATTTATTACAACTAATGTATGTAATGTTTCATTTATGACAATTTTTAATAACATATATTGAATGTCATCAATACGTTTTTATTTATTTCAACCAACTTGGACAAAAGGGAAATGAAATAAAGTAAAGGAACTCTATCCGGTATTATTATCAATGTTTTAAAAATCGGTTTTTTAGTTAAACCGTATGGTGATCGGTTTCTGGTTTAATCGGTTCGACCGGCGGGTCAACTAGTTTTTTTATAATTTTCATTTTTTTTTCCTATTTTCATATATATACATACATATATAAATCATAAATTTAACGTTTATAAGTTCAAACATTAAAAATATACATACAAATAAGTTGTAGATCACTCCAAAATACATTACAAACTTTATAATATTTATCATATGTTTTTATTTATAGAAAACTACATAGATTTGAAAAAATTTTCCAAAGTTTATTATGCAAATGGTTCTTTAGCATTTGATTTTATTTGGTTTAAACAGTATATATTTTGACCGTTTCAACCGGGATTTTTCTAAAAACCGGTCAGTTCAATGATGTTCAGAAGTCGACATAAAACCAGTGATAGTTAAACCGCTCCCTTCCTCAGTTCCCGGTCCAATCGGTTCGACCGGCTGGTTTGAACCAGTTTTTAAAACATTGAATATTATACATCTATTTAATTTCGTAGCGATTCCATAGTTAATCTGTAGGTATAATTTAACCACAAACCATTATGCTACAACCATTTTTCCGTAACAATTCCGTAGGTATCCGCTTATAGTTACGGAATAGCTACAAATTGTGTTGTAGCTTTTGCATGGGTTTGCTAGCAGGGATTCCACTCACAAGGGATACACAAAACAATTTAGAGATACATATAAAATACCCAATATTTATCGATTGTTCCCTTTTCCTACTGAGAATTGGAGATTGAGATTATTGAACATATCTTTATTTATTGTACAATTGCCAAGGATTTATGTCTTGCAGATCAATTTCTAGGATCCCCAATTGCTTAACAATCTTTGGATGCAGTCATTTCTTGTCATTTTCGGGTGTTGGAGAACCTTCTTTTTGCTACTACTAAGTAGACTATTTTCATAATATCGTGATGCACTCTTTATTTTATTTTTTTTATTTCTAATAGAATTTGGAAATGTTGACTCGGGTTGGATCGCTTTGGCATACATATCCAATTATCGCTCACTTATAATTCTTTTTTTACTAGTTTTTTCTCGTCATATAGTTTGAATAATAATTCGCCTACAGTACATTCAAAAAGAAATAAAAAACAGAACTTTGAGATCGAGTGTAGTAGGTTCAAGTTTTTTAGTATAGTTGATCTTGTTGATGTGAAAACTACGGTCTGCATTTGGCGAAAGATGTTAACGAACACACAAAGAAAACTATAAAACTGAGAAAAATGTTGCCAAAAGCTTCATAAACCAAAAAACATAGACAATACAAGTAAATTCCAAACAATCAAAATAAAGGCATTCAATCGTAGTTCTTAGTCCTTTCTTCTCGTCTCCTTTTCTTTCATTCATTACATTGAATCTATTCTTAGATACCAAGCACTCGCCCCCAGTGAGATAGTGAGAAATCAAAAGAAGCATTAAAAGATTTAAGAGAGATACATAGGACCCCACTAGAAATAATAGATGAGCAAGAAATATATATTTTTTTAACTAGAATTTTGAAGGAACTGTAATAAGAAAGGCATTCACCTCGTAGCTTAGAGCATCACAACATCTGGAACAATAACTGGGAACTTGTGAATACTATCTGCCCATGCCCCAGTTTTTGGAGCTTCGATGTCTCTAATACACTTCCAGACTACACTGTTACACTTAAACCCACTCCCAAACCCTATTTGCCAAACCCTGTTACCTTTCTTCATCCTACCTTTAGCCTCTATGTAACCCATTTCATACCATACCGATGATGATGATGTATTCCCAAACCTATACAACGTCATCCTTGACGCTTCCACATGTTCATCTGTCAACTTCAAACTCGATTGAACCTTATCGATTACTGCACGTCCTCCTGCATGGACACAGAAATGCTCGATGGCCTTTGCGTAATCTGGAATGTATGGTTTCATGTTCATCTTAAAGAGTTTTCTCCCTACGAAGTTGAAAAGAAATATGGCTTGCTCCGACACTGGAAGAACCAAGGCCCCCAGTGTGCTGATGTTTGATTTCAAGGAGTTAGCGGCGATTACCATGAGATCCTTATCCAGAGCTACGCCAAGTTTTCCATCTTTGTCTTCTTTATGCGTGATACAACCATAAGAACTATCGTCAGCTCCTTTGTGTGTCCTGACAACATGTGAAAGACTATACTTTGCATGTTTACGTAGGGACCTTTTATTAGTCAAGAGGATCGCAGCACATCCCATTCTGAACAGAATATTTGGAACGAGCATCGATCTTACCTTACCCGTATAAGAATTTGGGGTGATGATTTCAGTGCTTATAACAATCGCATTTGATTCAGGGTGCACACGAAGAAGATTTTTAGCTAAATCAATCGAAATTAGGCTTGCACTACACCCCATGCCGGATAAGTTATAGCTCTTCACATCACTTCTCATCTTATACTTGTTAATCACCATAGATGAAATAGAAGGAGTGGGATTAAAGAGGCCGCAGTTTACTATTACAATATCAATGTCTTGAGGGGTAATCCCCGTTTGCTCAAACAAAGAATCCATTGATGAGAAAATGACAAGTTCGGTTTCTTCTCTAGAACCGATCAAAGTTGGATTTGGTGGTATGTAATGTAACGGGGTGGGGCAAGCTAGTCTCGGCACCCAACCCTGCCCGTTCGAAGACCTTCACTAGGAATTCAACGCCTTTTTGATGTGAGGCTAATATGATACGTCCATGTTCGTATGCTGTAGCATGGGGGTACCCTATACATTGCGGGAGGCTTGAAACAGGCAAAGTCAAGGAGATAGACGGGTTGAGATTTGTTCATGAAGTGAATGGTGAATATGGTGATGATTACTAGCAAGAAAGAGATGATGTACCATATGAATGAGAGATCATGTAGAGAGAGAAGATGCTTACTGAGGTAATCTTCACCATGTTTAATTGCTTGAATGGAAATAGTAACGGCGACATATATGAGTAGGAGTGTGAGCATGTGGTTAATGATATGTTTGTAGGCTCCTTTTGCAACCTTACTCGTGATGGATGTCTGGGATTCAAGATGAGGCTCAAATCCCTCTGACATCTTGGAGGAAGAAGAGGAGTGTGATTGTGTGGGGAACTTCTGCATATTACAAAAGTTATCGACGGCTATCTATGGAGGTAGAGGGGACGAAGAAGGGGAAGGTGAAAATTTAAATGTGTAGTAGATGAAGATATGTCAGAGTCGGGTGTGAAAAGATTAAATGAGGGGCGTTTATGTCTTTAATAGCATTTATTTACTAGTAATCAATACTACACATGGTACTAAGTCTACTAGACACCGTCGGTGGAACCATTTTTGCACCTATCCATAGTCTATTTGTATTTACAAATCCATTGTACATAAATTTGCCAAGACATAATGATTTTCATTTTGGTGCGTTTTTTTCGTTTTTTTCTTCAGACAAATTACATTTCTCACAAAATAACTTTGGGTTAATTTATATTGGTGGTTGTTAAAAACATCCAAGTGTAATATACTGCAACGTCGGGTTTCTAGTATGTATTTTAGTAAATAATTATTCATTTTTGCAAGGGGACTTGATGAGTCGGAGGCCCCAGACTCGTCAAGTAGGAACGAATGAATGGACGCTGGACTTGAAGTCTACTCGACGAGTAGGGCTGCCAGAGTGAAACCCTAATTTTCAGGGTTTGCACCCTATTTAAAAACCTTAACACCCCCTATTGTGGCCTCCCTCATCGCTTCCCATAGTCCAGAAAACCCTAACTCGTGATCTTGAGTTTTGTGAGTGTGTGTGAGTGAAAAAGAAGTGATTTCTTGGTGTTTTCTTGAAGGATGGAAAGCTAGAAGTGCTTGGTTGAAGGAAGGAGCTTTGGATCCAGAAGAAGAACCCCATTTCCATCTCATTCAAGGTATAAAGTATATACCTTGTCCATTCATCTAATAGATCCCTTCATGGAGTAGTTTAGGGCTTTAAGGAGCCATTTTTGGAACCATTCATGGATGCAAGCATGTTTGGGGTTAAGACTTCAGATCCAGGGTCTTTGAGGGACTCCATGGTATAAAGGTGCCAACTTCATGGCCATGGGAGTTCCATGCATCATAAGAATCACTTTTAGAGCCTTTTCGAGCTAAACAACCCATACATGAACGTAAAGTTTGTAACTTTACGTGTTATATCGACCCTAGAATGCCAGATCTATGTTTTGGATGCATTAAGCTCGACTAAAATCGGCTGTATGGAATTGGACTTTAGGGGATTCCACGAGTCGTTCTTAGGACTCGGCGAGTTGGGTCATGGTTCCCCAACCTTTTCATTTACTGAGCAAACTTGTTGTGTCTAGAAGATGACTCAGCGAGTTGGACGTGTTTATGGAATTGAAGATCAAAGAACTCGACGAGTCCAAGGATGAACTCGGTGAGTTGATAGCAAATGTCCCGACTTGTATGAAGGAGAACTCGACGAGTCCAAGGAAGGACTCAACGAGTTTAAACGGAAAGTCTTGATTCTGTCATAAGGAGAAACTAGGCGAGTTAGAGGGTAACTCAACAAGTTAGATCGCAAATTTGAGATTCTCTGAATCATGGAACTCAACTAGTTGATGGACCGACTTGGCTAGTTAATTCAACCAGAATGTTGACTTAGACAAGAAGGTTGACTATGACCAGAGTGTTGACCTTTGAATCGACCATTGACCAGAGTTGACCCTTAAAGGGGTTATAAGTTTGATAGAGTAATTAAAAGAGATGTTATGTATAAGAGTTTAAGGAGAGTTGATCCCAGCACTGCGGATAGTTCAGCTACTTCATGACATTGAGGCGAGTTCCCTTCCAGTAGATGTGGGTCTAAGACAGCAAGTCCGATCCACTAGTAGGTGATTATAGTTGAGATGATTGTATTTGTGATAATTGTCCGGTATGCCACTATCTGTTATGTTTTATGTGCTAGTATTCTATGAGATTATGTGATAGTGGTAGATGAGGAATAGTCCCCGGTCTCGGTTGAGATATATCGACAGGGTAGGTTGGGCACCCAGATATGTCTGACAGTATGATATGCTATGTTATTATGTGGTAGTGGTAGGGTGAAATAGTCCCTGTAGCCGATTGAAATAAATCGGAGGGTAGGTCGGGCACCAAAATATGTTTGGTAGGGTAGGTCGAGCACCCAGATATGCTTGACAATGGGTAGGTCGGGCACCCCGGTATGCCTGACAAGGGTAGTTTGAGCACCCATATTTGCTCAATAGGGTAGGACGAGCACCCAGATATGTCTGGCAGTATGTTTATGGTTTGGTATGTGGTTGATGGGGGAACTCACTAAGCTTTGTGCTTACAGTTTCAATTTTTGTTTCAGGTCCTTCTTTTTCGAAGGGAAAGGAGTCGACATGGTAGCAACGCGTCACACACATGATTTTCGTATATGAGATTCTTGGGATTTATACTCTGGCATTGTTACTATTTGATGATATGGTTTTGAGACACGTGATCTATGGTTTTTATGAAATAAATTACTTGATGATGTTTTCTTATAAATTGTTTTATGAATAGCTATACTAAAAATGAAATTTTTGGTCTTGAATTTTAGGATGTTACATATACCCTAGTGTAATCACAAATCATAGTCTACTATTTTATCAACTTTATGATCTGTTAATTATTACATTATTATTATATAATTACTTTATGATTTTAACTAATAATTATTATTTAAATGTTTTATTTCAAATTTATTAGTGTTAATAAAAATAATTATTAATTATTAATTAATTCTCATCACGGCTTATGATCAGTACCATTCATAAGCCGACTTCAAATTTGTAGTTGCGGTTTATTTGGCTTGCCGCCTTCTTCTTTTAATCGATCGGTGTCAGATGACTTATCTTTCCCTCTTGCATCTCTAATTTACCACATGTATCTGAAGGGTTTTGAGCATTCTAACACACCTAAGGTGTACATGCAACCCTAGAAACCTTGGATCTATATTTTACTAAGATACATGAAAAAAAATGATTTTCCAAGGTTCTTAACTTAAATAGCATGGCATGGGAAACTTTAAAACATAATTGCTAGTAGAAGAACATACCTTTTAGTAGCTTGGATTCCTTGAAAACCTTGTAAGCCTATCACCCCAATTGTGATGCCTCAAATGTCTCACACAACACCACAACACTTAGAATAACTTGAGAGAAGTACACTTACACCTCAAAATCGGCTAGCCCTCTATTACTTGCTTGTAGTCGCTGATTTTCCTAGACATGGGGTCTTTATATAGTTGTGACACAAGTAGGGTTACACCATGTAAACCCTAATTGTCATGGCTTTACATATTCCAAGATTCATGGGTTTGTAACCTCCATGGACTATCCATGTACCATCTTATGGGTTTTAACCCAATCCATATAAACCATGGATCATTAGCCCAACTATACAAGAATAGATAATTTACACAATCAACCCCATATATTTAATTAGTCTCTTTTTGATCACTTAATAAATTCTAAATTAGTTCTTGATCAATACTAATTAAATAATATTATTAATATATTAGAACTTATAATATATTAATAAACCTTAAGTGTTATTTCTCTCATTTAGTCTATCCAAGTGTTGCAATGCCATGCAACCCAAATGGACCATGCTAACCGAGTCAAGTACATTCCAGGAATGGTTATGAACTTTGTGACATCCCCAATTTCACGGCCAGAAAATACCGATTCGTTTATGCTTTGTTTTTAAAACCAGAGTAATCTTTTAAAGAAAACAATTGCGGAATTTGTTCCCAAAACAAGATATGATAATAACTTATCAAAACATTTCTTAATGAGAATGTATTTTTATTTAATAATAAAACCTCGGAATGTCATGTTCCGATACAGACATATAATCATAAACATAACTTATATTCAATTACACTAATGATTTATATTTTCTTTAAATCTCTCTGTGAAATATATCTTCGTATCGATACCTGTGATACAAAGAAAACTTGGTGGGTCAGGCTTGGGAGCCTCGTGAGCATATAGGGTTTTCATCCCACAATGTTATATCATATATTTATAAATATAGAACATTCAAACTTGTACAATTTCACCACATAAAGGCAACTCCTATCCCACCCCATTGATCCTCACGACGACACAATCTAAACTCTCGTATCTAAAAATTTCCTCTTTACCTGATCCCTACTCACGGATCTAAAACTACCCTTTTCACCTGATCCATGCTCACGGATCTAAAACTAATCTCTTCACCAGATCCATACTCACAAATCCCAAACTAACCTCCTGATCTGATCCAAACTCCCGGATCTAAAAGTGTGCCCAATCCATACTCCCGAATTAAGGACAATTTACTATGCCTAAATCCTGATCTAATCCATACTCCCGGATCTAATAACAAGTTTATCTTGTTTATTGACAGTATCATCCCCGAGATCCCTCTCGCAATACATGTCAATGGGTTTTTAGAGTACACCGATGAACACATCATTCACAAACACCTACAAGTTGCGAGCCTGCTAGTGTTCCACTGACTGTCTAGAATAGTCTGTGGTTGTCATCCCTACTTTGCTGAATGATGGAGGCCATCGTTTGGGTAAAGGTTTCACTTATTTTCCACTTGTCACCCTCATCTCAATATCTATATCACCTCTTATCTCATTATCCAACTCATCCTTTTATCACACACCAACTATCTCATCTACCCATGTTCTACCCAACATATTTGTAGATATAAAATACATATACAGTTTAACTCATTTAAAAACTATATAAAACATCCATTACACACTCATCTCAAATAAACAACAATATATATAAACACATAGCACGTATTTCAAAACTAATACTACATATTTATGCGTTAGAAGAAAGTAACCACACACTCACTTGATCAGAAGATGATCGGACAACACTACGGCTTGTAGAAGTAGTATGTTTCAGTAGATCTGGAAGATATTCACAAAAATTGGCTTCTCGCGGGCAGAGTTTTGGCTCAGAAACTTTACTTCTCGGGATCTTCGGGGCTTCGGGACTTGCTTCGGGTCTCGGGTTTGATACCGAGACCTCGGGATATTTCTTGCACGAATAACGATGCAAAACGGGAGAGAGAGAGAGAGAGAGAAG